CTTGGGCGGCCTTGGCGAAGCCAAGGCGCTTCTGGCCCCAGTCGAACTGCACGTAGAACTTGCGCATGAAGACGTCTCCGAGGATCCACAGGGGGCCGCGAGGGGCGGGGACGTCGATGCCGGTGAGGCCAAGGATGCACTGGGAGCCAGACTGCTGGAGGATAATGTCCGGCTGGGAGAGGGTGTAGTCCTTGCCGCCAAGGGTGAAGGTGAGGTCGGGCAGTTTGGCAGAGCAGTCCACGACGTACTCTTTGCCAAGGATCGACTTGGCACCCAGCTTGGCGGCAATCTTGGCCACATCGTCCTTTGGACCAGCCAGGAGGGAGGTGCCGGAATCCACGATGGCGCTCTTCACGCTGGAGACGGCATCCCCTCCAAGCTTCACAGCATCCATGTTGATCTGCCAGTACGTCTCCGAGCTCAAGGGCACGAAGGAGAAGTCACCGGTGTAGTGCTTGGGGTCCACGCCACCGAACAAGAGCTCACCGGGCTGGTTGTTGCCGAGGTAGAAGGCGAAGATTGGCTTGGGGAGTTGGCCGGATGCCACCAAGGCCTTCATGGGGGTGGTCACATGTCCAACGGAGATGGAATCCCATCCCAGGCCAAGGATGCCATCGAACTTGCCCAGGCGGTAACCCAAACCCAGTCCTGAGGTCTTGTCAACTTCCGCGAAGGTGTAGTCCTTCAGCTTCAGGTCGCCAATGGTGACATCGTCTGCTGAGAACACGCCCGAGACAGGGCCCGAACCGTACTGGATGGCGAAGGTGGTGCCATTCTTCTTGTACGTGGAGGACTTGTCATGGTTGTAGGTGTTGTGGCTGGACAAGAAGGGCTTGGTGTTGGGGACCCACAGGTTAGAAGAACCCGTGTCAAACACAACCATCTCCTTCTGCCCGGGCGTGCCCACCTCGATCTCGCCGTAATACTGCGCGTTCCTGGGCCGTTGTTGGGAGAATAAGAACACAAGCTGATGTTAATCCAAAACTATGCTTAAAGAGTTGTTCAACGCCGCAAAGATTCATGTAATCATCAATGATCACAGGGTCCTCGCCCTTGGCGCCCAGGCGGGCCTCCCACTTCTGTGCACCCATGTTCACGGAGTCCAGGGCCTCCTCGAAGCTAAGCTCGCGCTTCTCAAGCGGCACGCGAAGAATCTGCGCTTGGGCGGCCTTGGCGAAGCCAAG